AGAGAGAGAGAGAGAGAGAGAGAGAGAGAGAGAGAGAGAGAGAGAGAGAGAGAGAGAGAGATAGAGATAGAGATAGATAGATAGATAGATAGATAGAGAGAGAGAGAGAGAGAGAGGAAGGAAGAGAGGAAGGAAGAGAGGGTGTGTGTGACGATCGCTGGGTACACGTGGCATCCGCGCGTACGGGATCGAGAAAGGGAGTGACGTGAGAGACTTACCTAGTGCTGGAAGCATGCGACAGTGGTCTCCATATGCTCGTACTTCGGGAATGCTGTTGATGTCATCTTTCGACTTCATAGTATAGGCTAGATAGGATCCGCCACATGTAGTCAGGGCGCCGAGCGCCGGATAGGATATCAACTTTAGTTCTTCGTTGATAATGGCGGGAATATTTCAACATTGTCAACTATAAACTCTTGGTGTGTTCTTATTTGGTGGATCTCGTGATGCAATGATGATGTTGGTTCGAGGTCAAGACTATCTGAACTCGTATGTATGATGCTGTTTGATTACTGAAGATCGTTATTTTGCATATTTATTATTATTATTATTATTATTATTATTATTATTATTATTATTATTATTATTATTATCAGGTGCAATATGGTTCTTGCGTCCACGTGGCATCTGTGTGGGGGATCGATGTTGTGAGTGATGCGAAAGACGTACCGGGTGCTTGACGTATGCGGCATTGGCCGAAATCTGTCCGTACTTGGAAAGCTGGTGATGTCATCAACGACATTGTAGGATAGGCTAGATAGGATCTGCCATCGGTAGACTGGCGCCGAGCACCAGATAGAGTATCAACTTTGGTTCTTCGTTGATGATGATGGGCTATTTCAACATTATCAGTTCTGAACTTTTGATAAACTCGTGATACAATTCTGTTGTTGGTCCAGGATCACGACTATCTGATCTTGTATTTTCTGATGTTGTTCGATTGCTGAAACTCGCTATTGATCGTCTTCCTTGATTATTATTATTATTACTACTATTATTATTATTATTACTATTATCATTATTATTATTATTATTATTATTACTATTACTATTATTATTATCATTATTATTATTATTATTATTATTATTATTATTATTATTATTATTATTATTATTATTATTATTATTATCAATGAAATCAGGCTCGCCTTCAACCACACTGTTCATGCACGCAGACAGTAGCGCAACAAACTGGCGAAACACTAAGAGAAATGGTGGAGGAGAACACAGTACAGATATAGACTCGTGTCATTAGGCAATAGCAAAGCAAACCTGGCGGCACTCTGTTCGCACATACATGATCGTTCGTACTACTTACTACACACACGTACAAAAGGAGGGGGGGAGAGTGAGTGAGAAAGTTCTTCTTCTTCCTTTTCTAAGTCCACTATCTCTTCTCTACCCTCTCGCTACGTGATTTCTCAGTATCTACAGATTAAGGGAGAAAGAGGGACTTGTGACCTTGAGACGGGACGACATTTGGAACCAGACCCGACGTTGGGGTTCAGACATTCGACGAAGGATTATTGGGACTTGTGCCGAAGACAGGGTGTGGGCAACGTTCCCATCTCCCCTCCTTCGTCTGATTTCTCTTTCTTCGTCTATATACGGATGAACCTGCCACACTCCTTTGCGTATGGCGCCAGGCCTTTCCCAACTTGCAACGATGAAGGGTGCGCCGTCAGGATGCTGCGTAAAGTTCACTGAACCTTATCATATAGAAGGAGGAGATAGCACACGGGAGAAGAAGAATAGAGGGAGAAGAAGAATGAGATAGAGGAAGAGGAAAAAGAAGTAGAGGGGAAAAAAACAGCCAGAGGAGGAAACAGACGGGAGCAGAAAAAAACAGACAGGAACAGACAAGGACAGACAGAACAAACAGAAAACAGCCAGAGTCGTGTCCCAGGTGCAAGAGTCACTCTCATAGTCAAAAGTCATGATCCACAGATGAAAAATCGTGGCTCACGTACCCAGACAGTAAACAGCCATGAAAGATTCGGGGAAGGTAACGAGCCGCGGTTTTCTGAAGCGATAGACAGGCAATCGAACAAAACAAACAGACAGACATAGCCAATACCAACAGATATAGTTGGAGGGGCGGAAACATACGTAGGTACACAGAAAAGACACAGTAAAACATGTGGCGGTTCCTGATGAGTCCGTGAAAGTCCAAAGGAAATAGTCTGGTACAATCGTAACAATGACAGACGTAACGAGCACAAGAAGAGAGCGACATGCATAGGCAAACAAACATGCCTGCAACCAACAGCCATCAAACAAAACGTCAACGAAAATAGACATACGAGCAGGGAAAACAGACGGAACGGGGAAAAACAATTGTGACTTTGGGACCAGGTTAGA